ACCCTGTGACTAGTGCCATACTGCAAGGATAAGAATTGGCCCCAGTCCCTAATATAAATCACTAACTTTTTCCAAATCTGCGGATGTTACACTTATACTCATTGGAATTTAGAAGATCAGAAAGTGACCTTACTGAAACATATCAGTTCCATAGGGGGCTTGAAACGGTACATACTGAGAGGCTGTTTCTTTCTGTGGGAGACACCAGGACCAGCAAGTATAATCCCAGAGGAAAGGGTCACCTATTAAACACAAAGACGAGGAAGAATCTCTTCCCTCGGAAGGTTGTGAATCTGTGGAATTCTTTGCCACGTAGGGCTGTCAAAGCTGATACCAGTAAGGGAGTCAAGGTTGATGGGAAAAAGGCTGGAAACTGAAGTTGCAGATGATCAGATCAGCCATGAATGGTGCAGCAGGCATAATGGGCTGAATGGCCCAGGTCTGAATTTACTGCATTTACTGAATTTACAGAGGGCTCTGCCCTCCAGCAACACTGTCACCCTTCACAGCTGTCACTGCCATCACTTCCTGCTCATGTTGTGCTGTGAAGTCTGCAGATAAAAACACCAACAATTATTGTGCAGTGCGATTAATTGCACTGGTGTAGGCAATGGATCATGCTTCCTCAGAAATCGTTGTCCTTCAACTTCTGTTCTATGCTTGAATGTCCTGGAGGTGAGAGGAGTTGGAGATAAGTTAGTAGTGAAAAGTGACACTGTCACTGTTTAATGGAATTTAGATGCTCACATTTCACTCATTGTTGAAATCAGTCTTATAAGAGATGTAAGAGAGAGATAATAAATTCTGTTATTGGGCAGTTGCACGGTCCAATTCTGTCCATCTCCAATGATCTCCAATGCCGCTGTTCTCTATGACCTCTTCCTCTGCTGATGTCAGCTGCCTATCACCTGTCCTCTCCATCATGTTTTGTGCTCATTTTCCCTGTAACGGGTTAACAACAGGCTTAACGGTGTCTGTACCACATGTGTATACCCAATGAAATGTATTCAATATGGGTGACTATCAGCTAGATGTGGCACATTACACAAGGACTGATGTGAATGGTAGTGATGGATAAACAGGAAGGTGAAGAAATGCATATCAAGTCGAAAATGACTGCTCTTTAAATTAGAGACATTGAATTTTCCAGTACAAAAGGAGGCCATTTGACCCATCATATCTGTACCAGCTCCTGAAAGAGCTACCCAGCTTGTCTCGTTCTCCAGCCTTATCTCTGTAGCACTCTAGATTCATTATTTTCAAACATCCATCTCTCTGAAACCTTCCATGGAATCCACCTCCTGCACTCCTCCGGGCCATTCCAAATCCTCACAACTCTCTGAGCAATGAAATTTTTCCTCGTCTCACTCCTAGCTCTCTTGCTGACAGTCTTGAAATTGTGACCCGTTATTCTGACATACCAACTAATGGAAACAGAATATCCTTCTTTGCCCTGTCAAAATTGTTCATAATTCTGAACACCTCAATCAGGTCACTTCTTAATCTTCTCTGCTCCAAGGAGAATAAACCCAATTTCTCTTATCTTTCCTTGTATCTAAAATCCCTCATTCCTGGTAGCATTCTAGTTAGTCTCCTTTGCATTCTCACCAGGGTTTTAACATCCTTCCTTAAATAAGATGCCCAGAACCTTAACATAATACTTCAAATGTGGTCTCACCAATGATTTGTAGAGGCGCAGCATCAATTCCTTGCTTTTGTACTCAATGTTCCATTTATAAACCCAAGGATCCTATGAGCCTTCTGAACAACTATTTCAACTTGCCTGGTCATCTTCAGAGAATTACACCCTTGACCCCTTAACTCTGTGAGGATCGATGAGATGGAGTACATGAGTTTAATATTCCGGAGGGGAACGTTTGTGAACAGCAGCATACAGGTGAATTTGTAACTTGACTTACTTTTCCTGTTATAGTGAGGTCATTGAATCACTTCAGCATAGGGTACAATCCTTCCTCTGTTAACTTCATCAGCTGCCTCCTATCCACAGCTCCCGGATAGCAACAGCATGTTTCTTCTTGCTGTTGCTGGAGAAGGTCATCTCCCTCATGCTCTATACTGTTTCAAGTCAGGTGTCATTGGAACTGAGACAGCCTTTGAATATCATCGGTCAAGCTTATTATTTTCTCATTTGTTTCCAAAACTCATCTTCTCAAAATGCCATCTTAGACTTAGTCATTTAAAGTCAAAATTGTGTCATGTGGATACGTATTATATTTGCTGAGTTGCACTGGAAATGAAAGGTGATCCATGTTGAAATCAAATATTCCAACATGAGAAACCTTTTCTACCTTTCACAACTCCAATTGCCATCATTTCCGAGCTCTCTGACCGTCTGCTCAGAATCAACTTCTGCATTATGCTGTTGAGCTTCGTATGCTCTATTTGTTCTTACTGAGGTTGTGCTAGACTAGTCCCACTTCCTACAAAAGGCTGTTTACTTCAGCTACTTCTACATTCCAACTGAGCCCTAATAACAAACCTCGTGTTGCTCTTCAATATTCATGCATTCTCATTCATGTTAAGTTTGCTTGGTATCTCACAAGAGTGTCGTTTTCTACTTCCTCTAGATGCTTGAATTTACCATACATACTAACTTTGATCTTGTTATGTACTGGATTAGAAAGTATTCAAATATTACACGAATTAATTCTGAACTCCTTGAGTACTTTCACTTTGTATGTAGTTGGTTGAAATTCCCTATTAAAAATAAGTTTCTATTTCCATTTCCCTTTCTTGTTTTTATTTGACTCTTTCCTTTTTCAATAGGCCTTACATTGATTGTTCGTCTGTTAAGAATATGCAACCAGCCCAGTTTAATTTCACACCTTGCAAGCAATCAACTCCTTTAGCTCTCTAGATATTACCAATACATAAGGAAGGTCACATTGTCTCTTTTCCTGTCTGCTTGCTCTTTCCTGAATATATAGGTGGCTTTATAAGTGGCTTTTGGTCTTATTTATGTTTGCCATAGTTTTAATATTCCTGTAGCTTTGACCAGAAAGGACTCAGACATCAAAAAGAATGAAAAGAATTTAACCACAATAACTTGTATTTATAGCACAGTCAAATGTGTTCCATAGCGAGCAATGAGGAAAAAGAAAATTGACACAGAACTGAAGGAAGACATTTTCAGGCAGATCAAACAGAGAGGTTTGATCAGCTTGGTAGATACGAGATCACACAAAGCATACCTTCCTCAATACTTGTCTAGACAGAGGCACTCAACGAGATCAAAAAAAAATTACAAGAATATTATGAGAGATCAGAAATTATGATTACAAAATAAAATCAAAGAAGTCTTCAGCACTGTTTTTGATCCTTGCAACAAACTCCATTACTTAGTTACCAGTTCAGTTTAAATTCCTGGCAACAGTCTTTAATTTGTTCAAGGTGATGTAGGCTTTACTGGCTAGGCCAGCATTTATTGCCTCCCTGGATCTATGGACGGGTAATGCCACTGATGTCAAAGCAAGATGGTTATTGTTTGGTACTTTCATCTATCAGCCCTAAGCGCAAATGTGAATATTGTCAAAATCTTGCTGCATTTCGACATAGAGTGCTTTATTATTTGAGTTGTGAATAGAACTGAACATTGTGCAGTCGTCAGTGAACATCCCCACTTCTGACCTTACATCACAGGGAAGGTTATTGGTGAAGCAGGTTGAAGCTGTTGGGGCCCAGGACATATCCTGAGGAATTGATGCAATATCCTGGGTGTGAGATAACTGGCAACCAGCAACCACAACTTCTTTATTTGTGCTGGCATGTGGACTTCAGTTTTTCTGAATTCCTTGTTGCCACTCTCAGTCAAATGTGGCCTGGATGTCAAGGGCAGTTACTCTCACCTCATCTCCAGAATTCAGCTATTTTATCTATGTTTATACCAAGGCTGTACTCACTCCTCCATTCGCAATATCTCCTCACACTCCCATGGCACCTTGCCATGCATTCACAGAAGGTGTAATACCTGCCTGTTTACCTCCTCCCTTCTCACCATTTTGGGTCCCAGACACACCTTTCAGTTGAAGCAGCAATTTACCTGTACTTCATTCGACCTGGTCTTCTGTATTCACTCTACACTGGGGAGTCAAAATGCAGACTGGTGACCGCTTTGCAGAACACCTACATTCTGTCTGAAAAAATGACCCTGAGCTTCTAGTTGCCTGCCTCTTCAACATATTATTATGTTCCCACACCAACATTTTTGTTGCAGACCTGCCTGCTGCAGTGTTCCAGTATCTCATCACTTACTCAGCTTTTCTTCTGCCCTAGCTTGCTTTCCATAATCTCCTTGTTTGCCTACCCCTTTCATATCTCTGACTCTCTGGGCTTTGTTTCCACCTATCCGCTAACCTTTTGGTCTAATATGTGGTCCAGTACTGATCATTGATGTCTGTATGCGGTCCAGTACTGAACATTAGTACCGATATATATCAAATACTGACGATTGATATCTGTATATTGTCCAATACTGACCATTGGCATCTATATATATATATATATTTATACAATACTGACCAATGATATGTGCATATACCCACTACAGACCACTGATTTCTGTATATAGTCCAATCCTGATCATTGATCCTTTACATATACAATACTGACCATTGATCCTATATATATATTCAATACTGACCATTGATTTCTGTATAGAGTCCAATACTGACCACTGATCCTATATACGTGTTCAGTAGTGACCATTGATTTCTGTATATAGTCCAGTACTGACCACTGATCCTACATACGTGTTCAGTACTGACCACTGA